GATACAATTCTATTCTTTTAGGAACGAAGAGAGTAATATGAAGACGACTAGCGGCAAGACTACTAGAGGAGTGCACGCATGATTTTTAATCAAAATAATAAAAGAATTCAGTGTCGTGTTTGAAATACCGGTCAAACTAAAACCAAAATATCATGATAAAATAGAGAGAGTGAGGAGAGTCAGACTTGTTAGCATCTTTTACTAGTTGTACCTCACCGGATGAAATCTTGTCTTCAGGTGATCATCCGAGATTCTTTGATTCCTAAATTAAGAAGTGTGTATTTTAATTGTTTATGGGTTCAAAGCTCCTCACTAGTGCTCTATCAATCATCAGGATTCATATTAGAGTAGTAATCTTTAGTGTAGACGTGGTGTCTAGAATATACTTTACCTGTGGTCGCGATTTGTCCCATGGATGATTGTGGTAGTCAGGAGGCGGTGATAGCCATGTTTGGCCTTTTTACTCCACAATGTTTGGGAAAGCTTTTAAAGCATAGGTCTCCCAGGCTAGACTACTTAGCACCCTTCTCTCCTCTTTCCGCTACTAGGTTGAGCCAATGACAAGAAGTGAGCAATCTTAAGTATCCATTTTATCTATCTAGTTTTATAACCATAGAAATCCTTTCTACCCAACCCATCATATACCCCTATGTCATGATACTCTGAAATATTCCTAGGTGAAAGCTACATTAACAACAATGCGCTTAAGGTTTTCCCTAATATGTCATAACATTTTTCCTTTTATTTTCCACCGGTTTTTTAAGGACTTTAACAACATATAACTAAACATTGTTGCTAGGACAAAGGTATTTATTGATCTTAAGACTAGATTTGATCAAGGCGGAGTATTGAAAAGCACATCGTTCTGTGGAGAAGCACATCAACCAATAGGAAAGAAGTGACCTCATCCCACGGACCTAGCCTAGAGGGTAGTGTGTTGGATTAGTCTTAAGTTTTCCATCTAATCGGACAATTACTGTTCACCCCTTGTAATCCATCGACTTCCCGAACAGACAACAACACGTTTTTTCGGTTTGTATATAAGCCCGATCAATCAATGGAGTCAACACAATTCAATCATTGATTCTCTCAATCTTATGTTCATTCTTCTGTCTCCATTTACATTGTGAGTACATTGATTTTAACAATCTTCTCTTGATTTCCCCATTAGGTTTTGCGAGAGACGTACCAAGATGTCTTTCTCCTCATATTTTCTAAAAGTTTTTTTATGAGTTTTGATTTTATATACCATATCTCCAATTTTTTCACATTAGTTTTGGATACCAAACATAGTGATCTATAAATCACACACTTATGGGCTTTTCCTTTCCCAAAAGGTTTCCCATATGAGTTCAAATTGAGCAATAGCCTACATATGTCATATCCTTTCCTTATATTTCGCATGAGATTTAAGAGTTTACATGTCACATCAATATGTTTCTTAGATTTTTTTGGGAGATTTAGTAAGTGTCAAGAAACATTTTTTCACAAGTTTTTAAAGGAATTTTGAACGCATCGATCTCAAGGGAGATTCAATAAGAGGGGGGTTGAGAAACATTCTCTTCAAAGAGACGCCTCTCCACGAGTTCATTAAGATTATAATAAACATTAGGGGCAATGTCCTTTGGAACAAGAAGTACTCCCTCCGTCATTAAATAACTATCGCCGTTGGTGTACGTGCCACAAATTTGACTCGATTTTTTTAAAATTCGTGCAACATTTGTATCTCCAATTAAATTTATTAAAAAACTAGATTCAAAGATCTTTTTAATGATACTAATTATGTACCATAAATATTAATAATTTTTAATATATATTTGGTCAAATTTATTTCTTGGAAAGCGAAAATGACAGATATTTAGATATTTATGGACAGAGGGAGCACGAATTGTTGCTTTGCTTGAGCCTCGTGACAAACCATCATTTCACCACACCCTCTCACCATGGGCATCAGAACAATGCAATACACAAATTCTTCCATCATTCATTTAATTGTGCAACCACGGCCCCCACCCATCATCCTCCCCTCTTCCTTCCTCGAATTATTATTATTATTAGTATATTGCCCGTGCTAACGCTACGGAAAACAATACTTACACAATTGATTTGGTGATAAAAACTATAAAGAGAAATTTACGCTTCCATTAATAAGAAGTGTGCTCTTCGAGCTTGGTACATTTGATAATGGTACTAAGGGGGTCCCTAGACATAATTATTACCTCAAGTACCCATATAAATTTTCTAACAGCATCTGCTATGCCTTATAACCATCCAGCAGCCTCCCGAGGCATTTGCGTTGCAGCCAACACCTATTGGTCGCCAAAATTATATTAGTAAATGTATGCTTTAATCAGATAAAGAAATTTAACCAAGCTCCAAGATAGGAAACATAAGAATATTTGCAAGCTCTTGACTAAACCTATCAAATTTGAGGTGACTTACCTCAACAGATCCATCAGTGAAGATAGAGATAAAAAAGAGAATAAAATTTCAAGTTTTCTAGGCTGATGTCTAAATGAACAAGTAGCAGAATTGCTTTTGTTCATAATCCTTCAGCTACTCTTATATGTCCCCTGTTTTTTCAATGGCCCCTGTACCAGAAGTTTAGTGAAGTTCAAAGAAATAGTAATATCATGTTGCATTCTAGAGTAAAATGAAATAATTTGGAAAACCAAAACTCAACCAACCTCTTTGAATTTCAAAAAAAAAACTTTCAGAAGGCACCAAATTTCACGAGTAAACCCAGGTAAATCTAAAGAAGAATGAACACTGAACACTGTGAAAGGAATAGCAACACATATGCTTCGTCTACAGGAAAAGGATACATAGGACCATTTACAAAAACTATTTGATCTTTTTCTCCAAAGCTAACTGCTTTCTGAAAAATGCTAAAATAGTTTTAACACAATTTATCAATAAAATTTATCGCCAAAGATAATACTACTTTCCTTGACAAGCAAAAGGATATATCTTTTTTTATGACTAAACATTAGTTTGTATTGCAAATTCATATGGGTAAAAATTATAGTTCTAACTTTGTTGCTATAATACCCCCTACTTAATTTAGATTCGAGCTTGAAGGTTGTTCTTACCTAGGTGACTTCAGTTAGAAGTTTCTAGAGAAATTATCATCACTTGCGGGGCTTCACGTTCTGTTTATACCGGCATATATAAACACTAATGAATTTTGGAAACACAATATCAGCATTCAGCCCTATCAAAATAAACAATGTAAAGTATGCGCTAAAGCATAGATGCAAGATCTAACAATCTAGTTGTACAGAAACTACAACTTACTTCTTTCCCAATTTTCTCGATCTCTGGTTTGTAATAGTCAAGGTAGGGAAAAGATATAGAGCTTAAAACAGCACCATTAGTACAGCAAGAATTTGCAGAAAGAACAAGTATGCCAGTTTACTCCATTGAATTGAACTAAAATATTACCTGTCAAAGCAAGCTTTAGACCAAATCTTGTCTGCTTGGCACAAGAATTTCAGGTGTATCAAGCACATAAATACAGGGATGAGCTGTAATCTGTACATGACAAATATGGTTGTTAGTTTATTCAATAAATAGGCATCTGCATGAGTATTCAATTCTAAAAAATCAACTACGGGCAAAGCAAGAGACCCAATTGTACATCTCGTACCTCCAAGATGCACACAGCATTGGACCTAGGTCTCTTCTCAGCAGAATACCATCGAACACTTAACAAGCACATATTAGAATACACTGGTGCTGCAGATCCAGCACAGGACCAATGGATTCCACCATAGCAAGAAGGGGAGGAGGAGGAGGAGAAGGGAAGGAGGATGAGAGATGCACACGCCTGCCTGTTGGTGCCAGTGACGAGCTGCGTGACTGTGCTTGATCTGCGGAGCCGCGTCACGTTGGAGCGCAGGGGTGGACTGTAGATGGAGCTGAACCGCCGCCATGGTCCGCCGTGCACATGGGCCTGGCCGTGTCACCGCCGCCAGGGTCCGTTGTGGGCATAGGCCTGGCCACGGCGCCGCCGGGGGCTCAGGCCTTGGATCGCCACCGCCACGACCACCGTTCCTGCGGGCAGATTTACCTGGCCGACGACGTCCCGAACCTGACGCTGGGGAGCGCAGAAGCTTCGCCGCGGCAGGCCCTGCCCAGCTTCGGTTGCCGCGCCGTGCCGCGTCTGTCGCCGAAGGAGGCCGCCGGAGCTGGAGAGGTTGCCGTCGTCGGGAACCAGGAGGCGGCGGAAGTCGCGGTGTTTTTTCCTTTCCGCGGTCGGTTGAGGGAAGAGGATGATGTTGCACAGAGGGGGAGGGGACTCGAACCGGCGTCTGCGCGCATGGGTGGGGTGGAGCGGTGAAGTGGGGAGATCGGGGGTGGGAGATCCAAAGAATATCGGCCGTCGAATATGGACGAGTAAGGAGAGAGAACGAGACAGAGTTAATCCGGTACGCACGTTTTTAATGTCATCTTTTTCTGTGTGCATTTTGTGAGGTGAACATAGTTTAGGTCATGACTGTAGAGGTGAGATTTATTTGGTGGCTATAGGATAATTTAAAGTGGTGTATTATAGGGGTAGAGATTATTATTATTATTCCTTTTTTTCTTCTGATAAATACAACAATAGTCAAATATACCAATCAACAAAAGAAATCAAATACCTAATTGTATCTGTATGAATCAAACCGATTCGAGGAATCTTCTGCCATTCAACGAAGCAGTTAAATTGATAAAGGCACCACCGTTTACTTAGCCAGGATTGCCCATCCAACATAAAATTTGATTAGCTGAATCACTTTTCACAGTTTAGTGAGTACAGAGCATGACATGATCCTCCTCAGGTGCAAAAACAACTAAACAAGAGAGAATTCAGTTCTCGTTTTCAAATTGTCTATTTAAGTGCATCCGTAAAAAGTAAAAACAGCACGCACAGAAGATTTCATTTTCTACACTGCAGATCATCATTGCATGGATTTGGACACCGCGGCACAAACTCAGTTAGTAGTACACAGCCACGTCTAGGGTTGTTTTATGGTCAGCTCAGCTCTTAGATGCAATACCCCGTCAATGAAGAAGAGACTGTCATCAGCCATGAATGATGGCCACGGGATCGCAAAGAGATTCCGGTACCCAACCGCCTTGCCGCCAGTGAAGGTATAGTAGCCCTTATATTTGCTGACAAACTCACCTGACGGCCTTGTCCTTGCAGCAAACTCATAATCCACGGTAACACTTGTCGACCCTTTCTCTTGCATCCCTAGGAAGAGACCAAAACAATAGAATGCACTTTGCTGGTCCATGTTGCAGTGTGCTGAGAGGAAGAAACCCTGTCCAGCTAGATGGAAAGCTTGTGAGTATATCCGTCCGGATGGAAAAAGTCGGCTGCACTCCTCACGCTTCAGGTCCAAGTATGCTATGCACTGTGGATATGGTCTATCAAACTCTACAACCTTAAGCGGACGATATTTGTAAGCTCGCTCAGCATATTTCCTACATGTCATCACATCTGCTGCAAGGGCACGCTGCCTATGTGGTGCATCAGCTTTGTAAAGAAGTGCCTCTGTGACACATTTAGTCGCCTGCTCATGATCCAGATCACTGCAAGCAAGAACCTTCCGCAACTTCCTGCAGGTCATATGGCAGAACCGAACAAGGGGCAGCAAGCGTGTGCCCAAGATCTCACGTCTTTCCTCCAATTTTGGGTATTGAGCACGTGCCCACTTTATCACAAAGTCGTAGATAGCATCCTCTGATGCGACCTGAAGGTCATTACTCCATAGGATGGCTTCAATTCCAGCAAGAGGAATGTTCATTGCTTCATCTTGGAACCTGAAAATGGGAATCATTTTTTAATGGCTATGTCTCTTCCATGATTTAACTTCTAGCTCTATTTGACAAGAGATTACTCACTTGGTCAAATCCTTATATTTATTGGCAAGGAATTCCTTGGCGGTGTCTATCAGTGGCTGAACTGCAGCAGCCATTGAAATGCTTGAGGGTAGATCCAGATAGAGCAGTGCAGACTCTGTGGTCATAGGCAAACTTCTAAGCAATTGACTGCAGTGCCGCATACAGGAAACAACCTCAAATTTGTCAGCGACCATCAATATATCCAGCAGGGCAGTTGGCTCGTTTGTCGTCAACTTGCCGCTATACATAAAGCTTAGAAGCTCCATAAGCGCATTTTCCTCTGTTCAGAGTAGAAATACAATGAGTCAAAAGTTCAAACTGTTAGCAAGAAAACATTTAACAGAGATACACTCCCTTGTTCTCATGGACCTAAACTTTTGAGACAAGGAAAGATGGCTAAGGTAGAACAAGGACGTAACAAGGTAGCAAATAAAAATTAGGAAGTGCAAACCTCATTCAAACTGATCATTTTTGTACTATAGATCCCATCATTTCAGTAACAATAGCACAATGTAGAACAAGGCAGTACTTATGTACTCCTATTTGTTAGAACATTCAAGCATACTGCAATGGCTCCCACATTACCTGAAGCATTTATTCTAAGAGCTGCATGCCTCTGATCGGATTCTTTCATTCCATTTGAAAAAAGCTAAAAAGAATGAAACAAATGTTGTGAGCTAGTTAATTATACCACAATACAGTGCATTATCAGCACAATCCAGAAAAAAAATAGATACCTTGTAAAAGAAAGGGCTCTTTGCAGCTAGAATTGCAGAGCTGATGTAGATAGACTTTACTCTCAAAACCTGAGTACACTCCATACTCCAGGATGAGTCGCTGCTTTCTCCATCCTCACCTGGCAAAGAAAAGATCCAATTAAAATATGAAATGAACCAATCACTGACATGACAAAAGAAAATGGTGCGCTGCAGCATCACATGATAGCTAAGGGTCTGTTTGGATGTTGGCATTGAATTGGGTCAGCGGAATTGGGTTTCCAAATCAATAAAAACTCGACCTGCAGGGGAAAGACCGCCCCCACAGCATTGCATTGAGAAGAAACTTCTCACACGCAGGCTAAGAAACACCCCCGAAGTCCAGCTGTCCTGGACGTGCCACGTATAACTCAGGAACACAGCCGATGATGGGTGTTTTTTAACACAGGCCTGTTTAAATTTGCTCCCACTGGAGTCGAACCCAAGACCTAAGGTGCTACTAAGGCTCCTGAGACCAACTAGGCTACAGACATGTTCGCGGTTTCCAAATCAATGACATGCTGAAATGGTATTGGACTGTGATTATGTTTCTAGGAGTTTCGATATCTTAAATTGGTCCCTGGGAAATAAGAATGCCCATCCAAACATCGTCTTCCCCCTGACCGGCGAGCCCACCGGCCTCCACGCTTCGGTGACCTCCACCACTTCCACGCAGCTCAATGTGCGACACTTTGCTGCCTCCAAGCACAGTCGAGGAGGGTAAGGCAGTGACAAACTCGCAAGCAACCCCGTGGGGGTCCAGGGTCCTTGGCTGCTAGTGACAGCGTGCAGCCATGGTCGGCGGTGGTATTGTAGGTCCAAATTGGAGTGTGTTGTTTGTTGCTGCGAGAATACCATGTGGAATTGTGGGTCAAATTCCAAAGCATCCAAACACATGGTATCGATGATATACAATTCCAGTTTCCCAATTCCAAGCTCAATACCAACATCCAAACGGGTGTAAAGAGTTAACTGTTAAGATACTTAAGACTGAGTTACTCAGCTTGCACCATCCATATCTTAGAAAAATGCCAAGTAGCCAAGTTGCTGCTTCAAGTACTCTGAGGAAGCCATATCTCCCAAGGATGTTAATTGCAGAAAAGTTACTCTTAGCTATCTCCTACAACTTGTGGAGTCAGAGCTGCTTGTTGCTATTGTGACAAGCTCGGCGACGATGACACGTGATGGGCTCCGTCTTTTATGGGTTGGCACTGTGTGTTTGCAGGATACTCAGGGTTGTTGTCTGGGCTGTCGTGCCTAGGTTTCTTTGCCAGTTTTCCTCCTAATAAACTGTGCTGCTGTAAGTTTTTTTTTTGGCACAGATTTCCTATAAACCGGGTCAAGTCTCTTCTTCTTAAGTGAATTGCAGGAGCTCCTTGGCCTCTTCGAAGAGGTTTCTTCAAAAAAAAAAACTCACAACATATTTCACAGAAGTATAGCTTGTATACACATTAGTTCCAAGTACCAACCAAGACATTGAGGTTTCATGAACAAAGCACATAAGCCTGAGCTTAATCTCTAGTACAATTGTGCTATTTAAATAACTAATTTTCAGGAAAGTGCTCCAGTAAATTGGCACATAACTCCTTTGAAGTGGGTTCTGTTAAATTTGTGCCTTGGAAGAGAATTTGGAAATCTCAGGCCCTTTGAAAAAGGGCGTACCCAGTACAGAGAGCCCCCGCTCTGTGCGGGGTCTGGGGAAGGGTGTTAGTGGCAAGCCTTACCCTTGCCTGTGCAATGCGAGGAGACCGCGACTCGAACCCGGGACCTTCCGGTCACATGCGGTAAGACTCTACCGCTTGCACCAGGCCCGCCCTTCAAAAAAAATCTCAGGCCCTTTGAAATGTAGGATTTTTGTGGCTAGCCATTCTAAACTGCTGCTGGACAGCCAGCAGATTGGCTATAAGCAGGGGTCACCTCATCTCCAGCATCCTGCCCATTATATGATCAAGCATCTGAAAACATTCAACACATTCTGATTTCCTGCATGGTTGCAAGAGAAGTTTGGTCTGCTACCTAACATAAGCTAGGCCTACAAGATTTGGTTCCTGACCAAGGCACAGCTACTTTCTCTGCCTGGTAGTGCCTGACAATGAAAGAGGTGGAGAAGCAGCATAAGGCCTGAACACTTTCATCATCTTAGTGGCCTGGGAGCTATGGAATCATCATAACGATTGTGTTTTCAATGGAGCTTCTCCGATCTCTAATTTGGTCAGGAGGGCTGTAAAGGAGGAGGGTACCCTATGGTGTACAGCCGGAGCTGAAGACCTCTGAAATCTTTTTTGAACCATGTTGCCTCAATACTGTAGGCCATTTCCTTCTTTAGTTCAGTGGCGCGCCTGTGCTTTGTATTTCACATTTGGTGTGTGTTTAATGTTGTGTAAGTTTGTTCTTGGAGTGCTGTACATAGTTTTTTTTCCTTTAATTCTCTCTTAATGTAATGACACATGGTTCCCAGCACCTACATGAAAAAAATAATTGATGTGTTTTCTACCAGCAGTTAGTTCAGGCCAACATATCTGACAACTTCAATACAACTGAACAAGTTCACCAATACATTGTGCCACATAGTAAACTTGACAAGAAAATACCATCAGCACTAATAATAGTTAGCAGACCCTGAATATTGCAAACATGGTAAAATGGTAAGGATTTTTTTGAGTGTATGCAGGTTCCTTTTCCTGAACCCAAAAACCTGAATTATTTTAACAACATAATTGAAAAAATTAAATTGCACTAACCATCTGGCTCAATATCAGGTGGAGATTCTTCTATCATAGCTACAGGCTCGTTGCCTTCCTCGTAGGCATCACATTCTTCAGCTTCAACTTTGCAGTTTCCTGGATCTGGCATGTATTTTCCAGATTCTGGGTACATAAAACAGTAGTGCAAAAGTTATATGCAAAATAAATTTGATAGTCGAAGATCATGCAGTACTACGAAGACATAAGATGTGAACAAACTGCAAATCACAGCAAATAGTGAAAAGAAAATGAGATAGTAAATTGCCAAGGCATGATCAGCACAAAAAATATATCACTAATATAGGGTCTGTATCCTTGTCAGTTGCCTGATATTTGGCTATGGGCCACAGCTTCAGTCACATTTTCTGGGCCTTGGATTGATGGTACAGCCCAGATATACACGCCCTTGACACTCTCTACCTTCCTTATCTTCTTCCTTCCTTCTTTCCTCTTCCTCATTCCCAACCGATGCCCGACACGAAGTGCCGTACCTACACCTCCCCTCCTCACCTAGCTTCGGCAGGCACACCTCTGCAGCTTTGACAATAACCCCTCCTGGCATTGCTCCTCCCTCAGCATCTACTTCATCAGGTCCTTGAGCTCCCCAGCGACCACTGGCTTTGTAGGCCCAAGCGCGATGCTGCTTCCACCACTGCCAAAGCTAACCGATTGAAGCTTGATGCCCTCGCTGCCTCCACCACCCAACCGCTGTCCTCCACCACCGTTAGGCCAGCGTGCTCCACGGTGACCCCTCTAAGCCTAGTGACCTTAAGCCCCCAAACCCTAAACCCAAACTACATCACCAATTCAATTTTCTAGTATAAATTTCGGACACTGATGGATAGGCAAGAAATTGGTCAAGAGGAGTAAAACTTATTTTATAATAATTTACAACTTTGCTGTGTTAAAGAGTGAGCTCATTTTCTCGAGAAAAAAAATGCCAAAGACACATATTATCTCCTCCTATTTCCCTGAGAAACTATAATTCGTTTTCACGTCCTGTTTGTCTATCCTTGTACACTTCTAATTTTCCTTTTTATTTCCATATCCATAGCACAAACAAGAAAAATACATACATAAATATTGTGCATTATAATGCAACACGTAACAGGTAAAACTACTCATAAGCACATTTCACAAATACAAATTTTGCTAATGTAACTGTTGGAATTGAACAGGTTCTGTTACATCATATAGGAAAAATTCAAGTGTGATTTCCAGATATACATAAATTTCCAGAAATAGGTTTCACAATTATAGAGCATGCCCATGACAAAATAATAGATATTGAAGTGCACTTTTTTGAGTCAAACAAGCTATTGGAACACCATGTGCATGGCTAAAGAATAAATAAGGACAACATGTTACTCATTGAGGAGCATTTCATTTTTTGTCAACAGACCACAATTTCCTCAATGAACAAAATATCACAAAATTACAAAAAACATCCATACTTCTTAACGTCGAACGTATTGAGGAGTGCCAAGGTATGATCACCTAATGGCTGTCTAAGCAGCATCAGCCAAAGAGATTACATCTCCAATATGCTGGCTGAGTTGCAGTGTGCATGTTGTTCGCACATGTGGGCTGAGTTGCAGTGTGCATGTTGTTCATACGTCCATGATTATGTAAATATTACAGGCATTGATCAAGGTAGGGCATACAAATAATTAGTTTGCCCATACCAAATGCAGAGATGAATGAGATCGTACTAATACAGCAGAACAGATCACCCACAGCCAAATCGTGTCAATTGCTATGGTGCTTAACTATCCCCACTAAATTCTAGCGTTTATTAGGGTGTGTTTGGATCTGGTTACTAAAATTTAGAAGGTGTCACGTGAGGGTGTCGCGAGGGGTGTTCCAATACTAATAAAAAACAAATTACAGAATCCGTTAGTACTCCACGAGACGAATTTATTAAGCCTAATTAATCCATCATTAGCACATGTTTACTGTAGCACTACATTGTCGAATCATAGACTAATTAGGCTTAAAAGATTCGTCTCGCAAATTAGTCCCAAGTTGTGTAATTAGTCTATATTTAATACTCCATACACATGTCAAATATCCGATGGGACAGCGACTAAAGTTTAGAGGCAAACACCCCCTTAGCCATTTCATTGGCAACAGATTGCTTATTAAATGATAATCTGAATTGCCACTGCACCAACTCAAAGGATTAAAAAAGAGAACGATAGACCCCACATTTCACAGCCTCGATTAAAAGTAAAAGTGCCTTCACAACACTTAAGGCCGAAGGCTTTACCACCTAAAGCCCGAGCACACGGTAAGGTCAAATCAAATCACCTCAAAAGGAAAGCAGCTTCCTATTCCTTTTCCCCCCACCCAACGCATGGAATAATTCAATGCAAACAACCAACCACTGCCTTTCCCCAGTTTCAAATCCACAGCCAATTTCGCAAATTCCAGGGAAGAGAGAGAAAAAAATGAGATAATCAGAAATCCTCGCTCACCTTTGCCACGTCGGAGCTCCTCCCGTCGCCGCTTGCGGTGGCGCGCCCAGTCGGCAAGCGACGAGCACCCCTCGCCGGCGGCGCCCTTGGCACCGAGGGCGTCATCCCCAGCGACGATCTCGATCCGCAACACCCGGTCGGAGAAGTTGACCGAGTTAAAGGCGAACTCAAAGCTCGGCCCCCCACTCGCCCGCGAGAAGTCCGGGTCCATCCCCGCCTCCTCGAACCAACCAACCACGCGCGTACCCACGGCTCACCTCACCTCACCTCTGAAGCACAGCCGCCTCAGGAGCCATTGACGGGGTAGACGGAGGCCCCCGACTCTAAACCTAGCAAGGCTTCGAAAAGGAAACCGCGATGCGGGAGCGAGCGAGGAGTGAGGGCCTGAGGCGAGGGGAGAGGAGACGAACAAGAACACGGGAAGCGGAGACGTGGAGGGCAGCGTCGTGATATAGAGAAATGCGGGGTTGTAAATGTAATTACACGTGACGAAAAAGGACAGCTGAACAAGGCGGAGTAAATTCGTACCCTCGCGGTGAGGGCAAGTGGATAAATACACTTCACGCCGTGCGTGTCCAGCAGCCTGTTCGCTTTCTCGTAAATGACCGTAAATTTTTAGCTAAAAATAGTGTTTTTTTCTCACATTAAACTAGTCAGCAGTAAATAATCTACGATATGATACGGCCTCCCGAACATGCCGCATGACCATAAGGTGGGTCCCAGCTGTTACGGTATGGACGGGCCCGCGTGTCGGTGGACGGGTGATGGGAACGTAGGATGGGTGTTAATGGGCGATGGATTTCGCGTTCGCAACCTCTTGCTTGCGATGATGTCTTTGGATTTTATTTTTCATTCATCGACGAAAAACTAAAAGGGAAACAATCTGTTGGTTGGTTGGCTGGGTGTGCTGACGTTCAGGCCGGACGTTGAACGGTAGGCTCATTCACTCCCTTTCTATTTTGACTTAATGTTGAACGGGAGGTTTTTTTTTTTTTGAATGGTGAACGGGAGTTTTTTAGTCCGAGGGTTCTGCGCTTCCAGGATTAACTAACAAATGTGTCCGACCGAACGCATGCAGTTGTTTGAGTGACGTGGCTCGATATTTATATAATGATCACGTTATTAAATGCATACAATATTAATTTATTTAGGCACAAGAGAAACATAAGGACATTATGAAAAAAAAAACGGAAGGAAGAATCATTTCACTCTTTAATACTTACCGGCAAACAACCACGGGAGAGAAAGCTACCAGACATATATGTGTATGTTTTATGCTTACTATAAAATTTCAAATCCACATGATGACCATGACGTCTATAATATAAGTTAACGTTGGCAATAATATAACAATGTCATATTAAGCTTTATCGAATTAAAATACAACCTTGATAAAATTTTTCTTAAGTTGCAAAGCAAAAAAATATTTACACAAATATATTATAATTATAACTTTAATTTTTATTCCATCCATGATTAAATATCAAGTTCCATGACTTTCTTTGAGTACTCGAAAAATATGCAAAGGGGGAGCTTCTCCAGTTTAGTAGGAGGAACTGTTTTTTATGGAAAAATGAGGAGCCGAAGCCGTATCGAAGGGGCCCTCCCAAATAAAGTCTAAATCTTTGTTTTGAAATAAAGATCAAACAATAGTTTAAGAGTCAATATTATATTCATTATTTGTTTTTGCCTTGTAAGAAACAAAACACAACGGGAGTGGAGAAACGGGCCGAGCGAAATGAAACAATCTAGCAGCAAAACCAAATCGAAAAAAAAAGCAAGAACAACCGTGCAAACAAAATCAAGAACAAAAGAAATCAGAAACCAAGTCGAAACCGATCGGAACAACCAAACAACGGAGTGGAAAAACAAGATTGAAAACCAATCGGAAGCAAAACAACCGAGCAGAATAAACACGGTAACAACGAGTGAAAACAAAGAATGCGGAAGGGCCAAATGGGTACGCGGGAAGAAATTTTTATGGCAGAATCTATAGCGTGTCCATGCATTGCAATTGGACCCAATACGCATAGAAATCAGACTTCGTATAATCACTAGATGTGAGTTGTTCTAACTTATATGAGTATGAATCATGAGTACGGATCATATACTAGATACATAAAGCACAATCTAATACATATGAGAACCAAACTCCATATCTATCATCGCTAGACGTGAGTTATTCTAACTCGTATGAGTATTAGTCATGAGTCTGAGTCACATATGAGACACAACCCAGTTAGTTAGGGAAATGATGAAAAAAATAGGTGTAGAGAAATTTTGTCTCTTTAATATTAGACTAACAAATGTGCCCGTGCGTTACAACGGGGTGTACGTATAGGAATTAGACTTTGTATTGTCGTTAGACGCAAATTATTCTAACTCGTATGAGCATGAGTCATAGAGTTCAGATAGAGATCCGAAGGGTGTGACACAATACGACTCAGAATCTAGTTATTGCAAACCATATGAGCACGAGTTATGAGTTTGAGTCGTGTACGGGATACAGTGGGCGCGAGACCAGTTTATGAAGTAAAAAAAAGTAGGATGAAAAAACGGTTTGGAACAAAAAATCCTCTTTAATATTAGCATATAGGTGTAGAAGAAATAGATATAGACATACATAGATAAGATTAAAGTAGAGAAGTAGATATAAATATAGTTATTTATTTATTTGTTCAAAACGTGACAAAAAAGGATGAAAAATCGTAAAAAATAAAATAAAATAGTAACAGAGTCGACTTTGAAAAGATGGAACATGTAGATAGATACATACATATATGTGACAGCACCGTTTTAGCTGCCAAAGTGGCGATTCGTTGTTGGCTTCAGCCCCGTTTCCTCCTCGTGGCGACGATAGCCGCCACCGAGATGGCGACCATCAATGAGGCCCCGATCACGCCAGGGCGGTTGCAGACGAAGAAGTTTGTCATCCTCTGGTTGTGGTCCTGTCTCACCTTGTCGATCTCCCGGTCCATGGCCATGTACACGAACGGGTACGTGGAGTGCCCATCGATGTTCTGATCAGCTTTCAGCTCGTGCACCTCCTGCTCGCCGCTGGACCCGCCGCGGACCACACCGGCGCGGTGGAGGATCTGCACGTCGGCCGCGTCCTCCATGATCTCAGTCATCATCTGGAAGTAGCGCGTGATCGGCTTGCTCTGCTCCTCGTACTCCCGCGGCCGGAGGTTCCGGGCCATCGTGACCAGCTTGAAGTCATACACCAACGCCGCCAGCCACACTGTCGGCTGCGCAAGCCGTGAACTCGATCACGGCGCGGCCGTTGTTGGAGGCCTAGAGACGGACCCCTGACCGCCGGAGATGTCTCTTGGTTGGTGACGAGATCCTAACATACATGTATGTTAAGCCTCGGGTCCAATGGTTCCCGAACGAAGAAGACCCCCCGACCGACTCCTTCAGGATCGCCCAGGGGCTCGGGGGCTCAGGGGCTATGCCTATTGGGCATGCTCACGCGCACCCTCTGGCAAAGAGATTCGACCGAGCCTGACTCGACCATAGCCTCCGCCTGGGGCTCAGGGGCTTCCCTGAGCCTTGGGCTCCCGCACGACCAAGCCCGGACCTTGGCTTCTGCCCGACTCATGACGCTAGCCAAGGCCCAGGCACAAGAAGACAGGCCCCGAGCTACCGATGCTCGGGGGCTCCTCGGCGCCGCTCCCCAGGCACGGCCCTACCAACTGCTCCTCTGACAGGGTCACGTCCGAGGCATGACACAAGAAGACAAAAAGCTTTCCACGTTCTCCAGGGGCTCGCGGGCTTCCGGGCCCGCGTGTCAGCCCCTGGAGCTGACCTCTTCAGCCACCAAGAAGACTCCAGAAGGTCTCACCCGGGGGAGGCCGGTCCAAGCTGACACCGCCTGACACGTAGAGTGTCAGAATATAGCAGCCGGACGACGCCCAAGGCTTCTTTGGCTCCAAGACACCGCCATAGTCCACGGCGCACCGCTGCAAGACCCTCCCGGACTTCGGCGCACGTGGACCATAGACTAAACCTCAAACCGCCATGTACCCGACCTATCTCGTTATATAAGGGATAAGGTCGGACCTAGAGGGGGGAGGATCCAATTTTCGATCACTAAACACTCCATTCCATCCGCCTCCGCTCTGCACAGAGGGCAAGGCAACCCGGAGAGGGGCACCGAGAGCCTCTCCTCCACCGCATCTCGTCGTCTTCCTCCTCTCTGACGAGGGGGAAGGCTCCACCGACAGCGAGGCAACTTTAGGATTAGCACCGAGCTAACCCCCTACCAAATCTTCTTCCTTTACACTTCTGTTGTAACCCCCTGATTTTGGGTGCTCTTGAGTATAATGATCATTAGCTGCTGGACGTAGGGACCGAATTGGCCCGAACCAGGATAAACCGTTGCGTCTCCTCTGCGTGATTCTTGTGTTACTGAGTCCACCCGAGCCACCGGAGACCTATACTCTGACACCAACTCGAACAACATGCTTGTCGTGGTTTTGACCCCACGACAACTGGGATGTGAGACGGCCAACCAGTGACGCTTCTGCCCTTCCTCTACGCCGGCTTGACCACGCTCATGTGCGTGTAGTCTAGGAGTGTGCGCTTGCTGCCTCATCATTGTTGGCCACGTCCTTAAATGGGCTGTCCGGGGGTGCTGCCGCGGTCTTCTTCATGGAGAAGAGCAAGTAGTACCAGCAGAAGTGGTGGATCATGTCGGTGAGGTTCTGCTCCATGATGCAGCTTGTACTCGTGCTCCATGGATTCTAAATTTCTAATCAATCTGCTTTGTTGCTTCATGCTCCTGCTGAAGCGGCTGCGTGCATGGATCTCGCACAGGCAATGACGAGCGGCAGTAATTTAAGCACGGTGGCCAGCGATCGAGCGGGCTAACCTACTGTGATGGTCCATGTCCTTGACGCCGTCGCTGACCAAGCTAAGCCACCGTGTTGATACACGCGCCTACACCATGCCTCCTCGCCAAGTGACTGTTGTGTGTGTGTGTGTCTATATATATAAGCTATTGAGGGCTTAGGGCTTCCAATAGTTACAGGAAGCCCTAGCCCAAACACCAGTTGATCCGACCAAATGTGGCAGAACCGTCTAATCTAATGCCCTTCCAAGAGTACTTGTCTTCCATTAGACACTAAGTACCCAAAAGAGTGCACTAAATTGTGTTGTTCCATCGAGCACACCCCAAGGAAGAACTCAAAAATCCACATTTTTCCATCAGGATCATAAATGAGAGAATAAAACTTACAACATTCTTAACCATTTCTTACATCACTTTACTACAACATTAGAGTACTAAAATAAGTTGAATGCAATAGCAAAATTAAGACAGTTTTACATGTAAAAGAGTTTATATATTTTAGATTTATATTTTTATCTTGCAGCGAAGAACAATATATGATCAGAATTACAGCGGAAATAAAGATTACTGGTGAATCATAAAACTTTTCTTCTAAAACTTTTAGTGAGAGTTATAAATAAACACTACGGTCGTAGCGTGAAAGGAATCCTCTCTGAGCCCATCAGAAGGTTTCCACACACAAAAGTCAGCTCTAGCATTCACCTATCACCTGCAACCATAGGGGATAAAACCCTGAGTACTCGATTGTACTCAACAAGACCTACCCGACAAGGGGGAAAGTAAAAGACTCCAAGGATATGCAAGGCTTATTTGGCTTGCCGGTTTATTGCATTTGCAGAAAGCATTATTAATAGTGCATCCTTATATTCAAAGTTTTAGCAGTTATTTTTAGTTAATTAGCTAACTATTCTAGGTAAGCACCTATGCTACTTTCAAGCATGTGGTAAGCAATCAGAACAATTTTATCACCTTCCATGTTCCAGTTCTTACTACAGTGCTAGATCATAGCCAAGTCGTTACCGTTTTACAGAAATGGCGATTCATGAATCAATATATCCTAGTTGGGTACCCTGAAACACACGCCCTGTTTGTACCCTAGGCACAAACGAGACCAACCCATTTCACTCCTGTTGAGGGGTCCAGCTCCTCGTCCAAACTTGGACTCCAAGCCCCACACTTGAGACCCCGTCTCAGCATGGTGCTTAGACCTTCACATTTCCCCGCCTCCAATCAGTCAGTCCGAAAAAAGCTGGAACCCACGATAAGAGCGCAACGAACCTTCCCGCTCCCATAAGCAAGTATGTGTTCAGGATAATAAGTCTGTGACCTGACTACCATCCACAACAACGGACGGTCATCAATTGACACAGGCAGAACAAGTGTAATCCGAGCCTCGCTCGAATGCCTAACCAAATCCAGATCCAAAGTACCATTTCGCTCGGTCTCCAATTATCCTCCATATATATTCCATGTGATAGTAATATAATAACAACAATAACATCTTTCCTATTTCTCGCGAGTGACAGGTAATCACTTGACTTCTACCGGATCCTATAGCATAGCAATTTATATGATCCTGACATACTAGTATGACTCATAGGATAAGGATATATATATATATATGCAAGTGGTTTTCATTCAACTCCTTAAAACTTAATGCACAAGCATAAAATAAAGTACAGAATAATAGGGGTTATGCACCAGGGCTTGCCTGGGTAAGATATAACTAAAGGTTAGCACTCCATCATGGTGACACGATCATCAAGGTACCATCTTTTCTGCTACCCCAGATGACTCCGGAAGCCATCGTTGTTCCTATTATATACGTGGATGCATCGCAGAGGCGTAATTAATCAGCGACAACCGTTACTCTTAAAAATACGATTACGCCTCATAGGCTAACGAGCTAGCTCTAACGACTAACGTACTAGGATACGTATCCACGTTGTTGAGTAAGGCATCGTTTCCTGAAAAATATTCTAGTTTTACAATCCTATGGTGTTTTTGTATTTTATCGATTAAACTTATATATATTTGAACTGGAATTCATTTAGCTACCTTAGCAAACTGATTATTATGGAGCTACAAAAATTACCGTGAGCACCTAATAATGCTAGTAGTTTACTGTGAAAGTTTCATGGCCAATACTATCACCACTTTATCACAACAATTTCTACAAGTTTATATTTCAACAATATTAAGCACCTAAAATTAATTAGATCACTCATAAAAATACTTATGAAGCTATGTGAACCAACTATACTAGTAGATAGATCATGATTTTAGAAACCTAACAAATTTAGTTTTACAATTTTTGGTTAACTACACAAATTTATATTGAATTTACAAGTTTACCTTAAAAACTAAATTAGAAAACGCTTTAGAAAAAGAAAAGGGCCGATGGCAACTAATTCGGCCCAAAAGCCTAGCACGGGGTGCGACTGCGCGCGCGTTGCGATGGCCTAGCATGGTCTAAGGCCGAGAGGCCACGCGCGGTGGTGGCTTTATAGAAAGGCCCCCAAGCTTTTAGAAATTACTACAACTACTATGCGCACTATTCCTACCGACATCGGTTTTGCAAACAAGTCCCCGAACTCTCCCGTCTTCACAATGGGGTGGTCCCTGATGCCACCGCGTGCGATGGCGCGGCGACCGTTGGCAAACCGCGGTTACACCGGCCACCATCAAGGGTCTCCGGTGGCCTATGATGGCCGAGCATCTAAGTTACGATGGCGCGCTCCTAGAGACGGCGGTAAGAGACCTGGAGAGGCACTGGAGCATAGCCGCCCACGGTGGCGACTGGGTCAGCGCGTTTCACATCGGTGGCGAAGCTGTTTCGACGAACCTAAAGACTCATGGGACGATAGAGGTTGTGGGGAAGCAAAAAGGGCTTACCACAAAGCCAGCCACGCCACCGGTTGAGATGAGGAAAGACCGAGGAAGCCTGGCCACGTGCGCTCGTACCTCACGGTGGTGCTCTGAGGCGGACACCGATGCGACACCGTACCTCCGATGGAAACCCAGGCCAATCTAACATGAGCACCAGCTGGAGGGGATCAAGACAAGTCCAAAAACACAACCAATTGAGTTTTTACCTTCGGGTCATGGCTTACCCCCAAACCCTTAGTCGCGGCAGCGCTCGTGGCCGACAATGAGGAAAAACTGAAATTGGCCATAGACAGACCACGGCTGGGCCCGACGAGAATAAGGCGTCTAGCTAACTTCCCATGCTACTCACTGGCACGAGGAATTGGGCTGAGAAGCCATGAGCTAGTGATTATGAAGGAAGAGGGAAGGGTGAATTGCCACTGCCACGTTGCAGAGAGTGGCAACGGCTTAAGCATCCTA